CTTTGAAATCTTTACATGCCCAGGAAGAAGAAGCATTTGCTATTGAAATGTGGCCATCGAGTAAAGGTCAAAATATGGTCTTAGTTTTATATGCAGAAGCGGTTTTCAGCAAAAACATTGTAACACAGTCATCTGAATGCTGGATGCTACAAATGGCTGAAAATGTGGTTCAGTTGCACAGCACTCAAAGTATGATCATGTGACCTTGCGGGGAAACCCAACCATCAGAACTTTCAATCCAGGTTGTAGGTACCGTTTAGGTCAGGGGTTTCCAACCTTGCAACTTTAAGACTTGTGGACTTCAACTCCCAGAGTTCCTCAGTTGAAGTCCACAAGTCTTAAAGTTGCCAAGGTTGGAAACCCCTGCTCTAGATAAGTCCATTGGTCACTAAATGGCTTGTCGTAAGTCGAGGACTACTTGTATACTTCCTCACATCTAGGATTTTGATCCTGCCTCTTATTGAATATAACCGACGCTGAACTCAGAAGGACTAACACCTGAGTAATAATGGATAAAAGAAAAAAATGCTTGAACATTTGGGAACTGGAGAAAGTTTCAACTCAAGATTCACAAGGAACTCGACAGACTCAAACATTGGGTGTTATCTAACACGATGCAGTTCAGTGGTGAGAAAAAGTCCTGCAATGAGGCAGGAAAAACAAAATGCATGGGTAAAGGAATAGGCAATACCTGGCTCAACAGTAGTGTTTGTGAGAAGGAGCTAGGTAATTTGATCAGGGATGTCAAACTCAAGGCCCAGGGGCCGGATCTAGTCCATGGAGTGCTTAGATCTGACCCGCGAAGTCACCCTGGAAACAATGAAGGACAGTGCATCTGTCAATGAAAACGGAGCTCACGAGGACTGCGTGCAGCCATCCTGAGCTCTGTTTTCACTGGCAGAGGGTTGCAGGAGGCCATCCCAGCTGAAAACGGAGCTCTGGAGCCCGTTTTCACTGGCAGAGTGCTCGGGCCACCAGAGGCACCCCGACACGAGTGATGTCAAGCTGGCCACGCCCACCCTGGCCACACCCACTCCACCCCCCACCCCCCGAGGTCAAACACAACCCTGATGCGGCCCTCAGTGAAATTGAGTTTGACACCCCTGATCTTGATTCTGGAGGAATCAAAAATCTTCAGACTGCACTATCAGGAGCTAATGATGGAAGGCCAGGTGCCTAAAACTACCTGACTTGCTAGGGTTAAGTCTAAATCTGTTCTTCCCCGTCCAAATCCCCCCCAGTCTTCAGATGCTAACAAAGAACCATCACTTGGTTGGCCAGAGATATCATCTGCATACTGACGACACCTAATGCCTCACCCATGGATGACCTCCCCCAGCAGTCTCATGTAGATGTTAAATTGGAGTGGGGCTTAGACTCTTTTTCTTGCGAACATGTAACCGACTCCAGAGGAAAGAAAAGAACTCCTGAAATACCATGACTTTAATTCCTAGCCCCCCTCCTAGGTCTTCCTAGAAATATAAACAATACTATTTCAGTGCTATAACCTATTTTGTACTACACCAAATTATTTGATGTTCAAATGGTAGATGTACTTTATTGCAGCTTTTCGGTTACAGCAACTGAGGCTGCACCACCACAGAGGCTGCAAATCTGTATCTACCACGGTCAAAGTTTCTTTTTATTTACCTTTAGGGCTCTTAATTCTTATTAAGACAGAGGTTTCAAGTAGGAAGCCTTAACTATTCCCGTTTCAGTTGATATCTCTCTGATCATTCTAAGCACGCTGCAATTACGGAAAGGGAAAAAACTAAACACTGTTAATCCAGTATATACATAAACTATGTTTATGAAGCTAATTATTTTTATTGCAATGCAGTAATATTATTGTTTTGTAAGGTGATCTAAGAAGGTTCGTCCCAGATTTTATTGCTTTCCTTGGTCAGAAATTTCACTCATGGTCAGCCCTACATTATTGTAAGGGGTTTGTCTGTAAAGCCGATATATATATTTTTTTAAGTTAAGATATTAATAAACAATGGTAACATTGTTGTATGTGATTGCCTTAGGGTAGACAAATTGGCAGCCTTTTCAACAATCCTTAACATTTATCTTTTAAAGGAAAATTTAAAATAACAAAATCTCACAGCAAACCTTTATTTATAGCTATAAACAAGTCAAGTTGGTGTTAAAATTACAATAGAGCCAGACATTGACAGTTACGGTAGTTCCTAAATATATTTATCTGAAATCTTATAGCATTATACGACCAACAGCAAGGGAACAAAAGCAACCAGAAAAAAGAATCTGCGATTACAGTTCACTGGACATTTCTAGATGTTTTATATATGAAAAGAAACTAGACCATACTCTTACAAAAATCAGATTCATGCTTTTCTCTATTAATACACTGATCATTAGTACTATAAATGCCTAGAAAGTTTTCATAAAACATACAAAAGCTATTTTTTTTTTGTATTGTTAACAAAATAAAGCAGGCATCATTTCATTCAACAATTGATCAAGCCTGCCACTACAATTACTTAAAAAATAGTTTGAACATCTAAAAGCACTTGTTTTACAAAATGAAACAGAGGGGTGTGAACACACGCCTTCAGTTGTAATAATAATCAATACCACTTCATTGGGCAAAATATCTTTTCTTTTATGTACACTGAGAGCGTATGCACCAAAGACAAATTCCTTATGTGTCCAATCACACTTGGCCAATAAAGAATTCTATTCTATTCTATTCTATTCTATTCTATTCTATTCTATTCTATTCTATTCTATTCTATTCTATTCTATTCTTAGTATATTGACACTGAAGTTACATAATTTTTTGTTTGATCTGGTTCTTTTAGTGCAAAACTCTTGGAAGATGAGTCTTAAAAGGTATTTTATGACTAAAATAACATATGCAAAACTCCTAAATAATCCACAAATATACAGCTTGTTGGAGATACACAGTACAGATTCTGAAACCATCGTGTTTAAGTTCTGCATAGCATCTTCTCCGCCAGAGTCTTGGGGGGGCGGGGGAAATAGTATCATGGGTATTTGTTTGACCTGGAACTCTTTTGAACTTCTTTTAGAATTATTTTTAGCTTGCTGAACTACAAGCATGAACGTGTGCTTGCCTGCATATCCACACAGCCCTATGTTCCGAAAATTATTTTCCCATCCCATAAGTGGAAGGATTAAATGCAGGTATTAGAATGATCCATCGTTATAATACATGAATTAAGTGGCGTAAGAAACACAATGAAAATATGTGCAGCAAGAATGAATGATGTTTTACACACTGCCCCTGAGATGCTGTAAGTCTTAAGTAATTGTCAAAATCTGTGGCTTTCAGGGGGTGAGGGAGGGTTGGTAAACTGGATATAGCAGACAGATAATTCTAGAATGTCATATAGTGAACTTGTATACCAGAATAATCATTAAATTACAGAGGGAAGGTATCCTGTATAAACTACTATTTTTTTATTACTTGAAGCATATTTTCTACCATAAACATTAGAACAAGCACAGGTTTAGTTGGGGTTAAAATTAACAACTTTACTAAGAAACATATTATCACAATTATAGTCAATCACAATCTCTCTGAAATCTGTTGGATTTTGAATTGTTTAACTATAATGTTCCCATTGCAAACGTTAGCATTCTATCATCTTCTATACCATTACGGCAGATTAAATTTGAAGGGGGAGAATAGACTCAAAAGATTCTGTAGCCCGTTAAGTTCTGTTTGATATTATCTATGGATAAATGATTGGCAAGTTGGAATATAATATGAGAACGGACAAGAGTATCTGAATGATATTAGATGCTACTGTAATCAATGTCATCTACCGTATTAAGCTATGGTTTGCTAAATAAACTGCCACTGGCTGGCTTTCATAAAATGCAAAGCCATAAATTGTGATTTACAAATTAGAATGATCCCCTAAGCCATATTATGGTTAGAACAATGTATGAGCCTTATCTACAAAGTGACTCTGTGTCTCTCAACTAGTTTCAATGCACAATGTTCTCCCACTGCAGTGCAAAAGTACAAAGAAAGTCAAATGTGCAATTCTCTGATACATCACGGTGAAATCAAAAAAGCATCTGTGCTGGAATTGAATATCAAAACATTATTGGATCACATTTGTTTCAGTAAAACATAGGCCCCTTTACCAGTGGTGGGTTTCAAAATTTTTTACTACTGGTTCTGTGGGTGTGGCTTGGTGGGCGTGGCTTGGTGGGCATGGCAGGGAAAGGATACTGTAAAATCTCCATTCCCACCCCACTCCAGGGGAAGGTTACTGCAAAATCCCCATTTCCTCCCAATCAGCAGGGACTTGGGAGGCAGAGAATAGAGGGGGGCGGGGCCAGTCAGAATTTTACTACCGGTTCTCCAAACTACTCAGAATTTCCGCTACCAGTTCTCCAGAACTGGTCAGAACCTGCTGAAACCCACCTCTGCCCTCCACCTAATGCAATAAATTTGCACTTCAGCACCTATTCACCAAAAAGTTAAAATAAATTAGTGGTAATATTGACTACAAGCTTATTTCAGCAATTATTTATTTTCTTAGAAGAAAAACATCTATTGCAATTGAGTATATTGTTTGGTCTTAACCGCAACCCAATACTTTTACATAAGGTCTTCTGAATGTGCCGGGAAAACTAGCTAGGGATGGGGGGAATTGCAATGTAACATCTGGAGGATGCCAAGTTGGAGCAGGAATACAATACAAGCCACTTCTTTATGATCTTGGACAAATAAAGTTGAGGAAGGAAACAATATCATATTGGATTAAGTACTGCTTTTCAATGATTAATTTTACTTCGAATTCACAAAACTCTTTGCAATGTGGTTTTCAAACTCTAAATTCCCCGTTAAGAAAGCAAAAGTGCTAATACTTTGCAAAAAAAAAAAAAAAGTTGCAATCAGTAACCCTTACTGAATGCAAACACATATATTGCCTCTAATTTCTTAATAGCCACATAGAGCTTTGTTTTACTTTCTTTAAAAAAAGTATGCCACTTACGCTTTTTTCTCCGAGAAGTCGGTTGTCCGAATAATCCACTCCCAGCCTTGCAGTCACACAACATGCAGATGCCAACCTAGTGTGCACAGGGTTTGTTTTTTTCCCTGAAAGAGGGCTACCTGCAGAGTACAGACCAAATAGCTTGTGCTTCTTTCTGATAAGATCACCAGGGCTTAGCAGAATATAACAATGCTTAATCCTCATTGGTTTTGCCTGCTGAGCAGCAGGCTGTTTCCTTGACAACACATTTGCAGTTGCTACGGCATTCTCAGCCACATATGATGTCAAGGTTTGATGTCAACGTAAAAGAAAATTGCCTCCTGTTTGCAAATCAGTATGTGATGGGTCCATAAAAATGTGCATGCAATTGTGACTTGTACCAGTGAAAGCATAATTTCAAAATTTTCGGGAGCAACCAGCCCATGTCTCTTCTGCTTTGGTCAATCCCTACTTTGAATATGGTGTCCAGTCTCCAGAATTTAAGAATTTTTTAACATTGAAAATATTTGAAAAAGACTGGTCAGGGGGCTAGAAAACTAAAGCCTACGATGAAATATTGAATGCGGTGAGCATGCTTTATTTTGAGAAAAAACGGACTTCAAAGAGATGTGACTACACACCTCAAATACCAGAGGTTATATGTTGCATAGAAGAGGTTAAGATCTATTCTATTTTCTCTTATTTCAGGGGACAAAACAAAGAATTATGATTTAAATTACAGGGAGGGAAATTCCAACTGAATGCTAGGAAAAAAACTTCCTAACTGTCTGATAATAGTACCAACTATCCATAGAAAGGATGGTCTCTTCTTCACTAGATATGTCCAAGCAGTTGGTTAAACAGATTGGACTCAGTGGCTTAAATAGCCTCTTCAGCAGTTCACCGGAGAAAAATGTTGCCTGAAACTCTGGAAAATGCGTTTTAGTGCAAGAGTTGTATTCATTACAAGCAACTTACTATGTTTACTTTGCATCGGTTTTGGAGAGGAATATTGAAAAGATATAAAACCTCAGCTTAATTACTAATGTTCTTATCATTACTAGAAACAGTAACATATTTTTAAAAATCATCCTAACCTTTTATCGCCAATCTCCTCCAACACCACTTCCTGAGTTAGCCTGGGCTCTTGATAATTAATTTTATTATATCTCAAATACACTGCTTTAGTTGTAACATTACAGAAAATCAAATTAAAAGCAATGGCCACAGCCCTCATCTTTTCAAATACAAAAACATTTGAAGACAACCTAGTTGTTCTGTTCCTTTGTCCCAAGAAGCAATATCTTGCTAGACTTTTTTGATACCTTCCTGCATAAAGTGTACAGTTGAAATACTTATACCAAAAGGATCAAGTATTTATTTTTCATACTTTGCATTGACTCCCTTCTCTATCTATGTAATAAAATGGAAGATCTATTCTTTCTCTAGGAATACGAGCATATAGGTGACGTAGAATGCAGAGCAGAGCAGAGTAGAGTATAATCCCTATTATCCATTTATTAATTAGATTAAACTAAATATATAAATATACTGTAGATACAACATACAATGTACAACTAAAAGATTCTTCACATCTGATCCAGATTCTGCATTTCCACAACGGAGGAACAAATCGGTTTTGAAAACCATGCCTTAGGGGAATTGCATATGATTTGTCCATTGCTTTTAATTTGAAAAGCAGGGAAAAATTAGATGAAACAAAATGGTGTTACACAAAAAAGCAGTAGAGAATGAAGCCAAATAGAGATCAGCTGACTTTTCAACCCTTCAGATGTCAAGGTGGAATCTCACCTCATGTCCTATAAGAACTGCCAATTTCTTAATCAAATATGTATCTTCTTTGCTATATTTCTCCAGTAATATACCCAATAAAAATGCCTCTGGTTTTAACTCTATACGTTGGTGCATAGGTGGCACAGAGTTATACTGTGTTTTTGATGTTAGTTATAAGTCATTTATTCAAGATGTCATAAATGGAAAGGTTTAAAGTACATGCCTTACAATGCTCAATGTTTTTGGTTATTAAAATTGTTACCAACAAAGCAGCTGAATGTATATTACATTTGACAGATGCCCCAAAACACTGGCATTTTAGGGACTCCTAAGGTTTGATCACTATTTCCTTATACATAAATAATACTTGAAATAATGTCTTTATAGAAAACAGGCATTTGAGGAAACCAAACATAAAATAGCCTCTTTGTCCAGTGATGGGGTGTATGATGTAGTTCATATTTGAATAAAAAAGTAATCTTTTTTTTTTAAATTTTATTGAATAAACAAATATATTACAATTCAACCTTTTCGGTTTGGCAACGTGTAGTCATACTATATGCTTATAAATATGGTAGCTAATAGGTTATATAGATAATTTACATTCAGAATCGTAAGATATTTATGAAATTAATGTATTATAAGTCATAATATAATAGTACATAAGTTAATAATTAAGTGTTGTCCCCCTTAGTAATTAACTTTTGCATTTATTTCCCAACCACCTATACCACAAATCCCATACCGTATAAAACTCTGAATCTTCCTTCTCATTTAGTACATATGTTAATCTACACATTTCTGCGCATTCCAATATTTTGTTAACTATATGCTCCTCAGTTGGACATCTTTTCTCCTTCCAATGTTGTGCATAAGAGATTCTCGCAGCTGTAACGATGTGGATAATTAGATATTTCTTCTTCTTCCCATATGCTCGTTTCAGAACTCCCAGGAGGTAAATTTCTGGTATAAGGGCAATCTCCTCCTCTATTATTTCTTGGATCCATTTTTGTATCAATTTCCAGAATTTTTATTTATTTTTATTTAAATTGAATAAAAAAGTAATCTTATCCTAATTTGCATTTTCTGAATACAAAATTGGAAGACAATTTTGTATTTTTCTAAATTCTGCAATTCGAGTTTGATTTTTTTTTAACTGCAAAACATAATTTAGGGGAAGTATAATAGAAAAAAATAACACAGGAAAAAGCATACTTTGGGAAAAGGATTTATGAATTGTCTGGTTGTACGAAAACGGATGCAAAATGCATCTTTTTGTGAAAACTTTGCTTTGAAAAAAATAGAAACGGACATAGAAGTAATACAAAATAACTTGCATTTGTAAAACTAAGAATATTATAAGGAAGCAAACGGGATTTATTTCTAGTTTTCAAAGACATTTTTTAAAAACAGTCTTTAAAATACAGGCTCAGGCGCCCACACACTGTCTTACAATCAATGTACCGTGTTATTTTGTTGTTAATGAAGTCGTCGTTTCTAGCTCCCATCTTGGGTAAGTGTATATTTAATCTATCTAAACTTCTAGTTAACCACTCAACAATATTAAAAGATGACAATGAAGTTTGAAAGGGTAAAAAGAAACATTCTGGGGAACAATTAAGTCTATACACAATCCTCCCTTGTGTGTGTAATCAAAGGATCAACAAATGAATCAGTAAGATCTTCCTAAAAGTTCCAAGAAACAAACTCAGTGTGAACAATATCAATTCAGAATGGAAATCTGTGGTTTTTTTAGATCAGCACAAGTGCCTAATTGTTAGAAAGGTCCTTGCTCTCTTAAAGCAGGATTTCTTGTTTCATATAAATGCACAATTGGGGGTGGGGTGGGGTGGGGGACCTTCCAATTTCCCTAATTTTTCCAGATTTTTGTTTTGCTTTGTATTGTATTGGGGTGTTTAATGGTTAAATAACATTTATTTTGTCTTTATTTTTGCCAAAACGAGGTGGAAAACAATGCCATTAAAATCAGAAATTTGGTTATCAATGATGGAAGCTTTAATACACCCAAATGTTTTTAATTTTGGAAATATTGTTAGATACAAGGACTGGTTAACAGATAAGGGGGAATTAAAAGAGAAACGAGAACTGGAAGAACAGGGGATTGAGATAGATTGGTATATGTATATGCAGATAAGGACAAGATATGAAAAAGATGCTAAGTTACATGTTTTCTATATCAAAAAGACTGAATTAGATAGGATACTCACAGAAACGGAAGAAAATGTAATAAATTTTTTTTATAACTTTTTGTTATATATTGAGTTGGAGGATGAACAGGTAAAAGAAACAATGATAGCTTGGGGAATAAATTTTGGACATTCAATTGATCTTGAAAAATGGCAACAGCTATGGGAAAAGAATTATAAATTAACGATGTCCACTGCATATAAGGAAAACCAATACAAAATGTTTTATAGATGGCATATGCCACCGGAGAAGTTAGCAAAAATGTTCAAAGATAAATCAGCGAAATGTTGGAACTATCACCAACTACCAGGATTTTATTATGATATGTAGTGGACATGCCCTGAAGCAAATGGAATAAAATCCAAATCTGGCTGGAAGAAATGATACAAATATGAATTGAATTCAAACCAGAGTTGTTTCTATTGGGTATCCTACCTGACAAAATTAAAAAGGAATATATTTATTTGATTATACATGTAATAACAGCTGCAAGAATTGTCTATGCTCAAAATAGGAAATCAGAGAAAATACCTTCGGAAGATGAAGTAATAAGAAAGATCTTAGATTGCGCTGAAACGAATCGATTAACTTTATTGATTAAAAATAGGGAAGAATCAGAATACTTTAAAATATGGAATGATTTTTATTCTTGGTTGCAAAAGAGATATAAATGATTAACTTTATAAATATGTATAAAAACCTGATAGTAAGAATATGATTATAGTAATGAATTTGTCCATTGGTTTTGAAGATGGCTAAGACAGAAGAAACTGTCGGAACAAGAAGAATAAAATGAACTGAAGAATTCAACACTGAGATGTCACAGGGGAGGGCTGATTGATGTTTTAAATGTTTGTTTGTTTTTAAAAAAAAATTAAAAAGTTTACTAAAAAAATCAGAATTTTTTGTTTATGCAGGTACTCTGAGGCAGCAAAATTCAATTTGGGAGTTGCAAGCATTCACTTGCACTACAAACTACAACATAGCTTGTTTTTAGCTTAACGTGATGTATATACACAGCCACATTGGTTTAGCAACTATACTGGTCTGTATGAATCTATGCTTAAAACAAGCCATGATTTAGTGTGATGCGTGGATCCAGGCAATGAATCGTAGCTTTTAAGATACTTTTAAAGATGCAAAAAAACCCACAAACAAAACTCTTCAAAATGGTTGGTTTTCTGCTGGTGTGCTCAGAGCTGGATTAAGACCAATCAACACTAGCAAAACTTTCACGGAAACAA